TACATTACTCTCAGATATCCAAACCAGCCTCTGCTACAGTCATCATGAAATGCAAGCTGCAAATGAATAGAAATACACTGGCTAAATTTTATCACTGTTCTATCCAAAATCATGAAAAAAGCACTGAAAACCTTGCCCTCAGAAGACAAAATTTGCTGGCTCACGCCTCAAACAACTGTGGCAGAAAACCCGTAACTCTAAAGCATAGCGTAAGTGGATGCACAGTCTCTTCCCTTCTCCCAGTGAAAGCACAGCCTGTTCCCTTCTCTTGGTTTGTAATCCCTGGAGCTCAAAATTTTTGTGGCTGGCACTCATGGATACCAAAACAATCAGAAATCCGGTTGGTTATTGCAGAAATAAAAAAAATGAAATTCTGGGGAGACAGCAGTGTATTTGAGAACTGCTTGTTACACCACATTTTTCCTATTTGCAGATACAAACACTGCTCCTTGAAGTCAGGCTAGTGCACATCCTATTTTCCCCCTCCTGCTCTCTCTCCCTCTCTGCCTTGTTGGTGTTTTCCACCCAGCTTTCATCACTACTGTGTGCTTCGGTGTCTTGTACTGACTAGGCTCATCCTGGGCACTGACTTCAGTGCTCCAAATATGCCTGTAGCCATCAGAAATGCTGTGCACATTTCTCCCTCTTCCACACAGATGGGTTTTCCCCATTCTCAGGCTTTGCCAGAATCACCTGAAGTCCCAGAGAGCATGTTAAAAAAAAAAAAAAAAAAAAAAAGAGAGAGAGAGAGAGAGAAGGGCAAATGTCTGGATGTACCAGGCAAAAAAAAAATGGACATCCACAGCTTCACATTCCCAAGTGATGACAGGAGACTGGATATGTGAGAGAGTCCTCCAGCAAAGAGTAGCCTGGGAGACCCTAAGAAAGAGGGTGGGTGTCCCAAGGAGTATAGCTCTGTCCTCTGCACAGGATGGTGATCCCTGTAACTGCTCAGCAAATGTAGGCCAGATGGATAGGTGATGATATTCACAGCCATTTAGCTGATTAGCCAGAAAACACAGGTGACCTTGTGGAACTCCACATTTTAAAGAATTATGCCATAAGATCATGAAAGGACTTCATATGTCACCAAAGTATCTTTTGACTCTCTAGTGCCCTTCAGTGCTCTTAATCTACTGCTGTAGGATCTGATATCACAATATTTGAGTACTTCACTCACTACATCCAATAAGAAAAAGAAATCCTATCCCAGTCTTACCAAGGGGGTAAGAAGGCAAAGTCAGCTTGAGTCACCCAAGATGACATGGAAAAGCTGTGGTCTGGCAAAGTGCTGAACAAGGCTCAGTGAATGCTCCGTTAACCAAACTGCCCTGCCCACCTGCTTAATCCTGTCGTCCCACCACAGGCAAAGGCAGAGGCAGTAAAGCAGCTCAAGGACAATTAAAGTCTTTTGAGTTCTTATCTGAACAGAGACAGTATTTAGTCAGCACACCATGTGTTTTAGAGACGAGGAAACTTCCCCAACATTTCTACGGTACAAAATATGGACTGTATTTTTTATATCTCTCCACATGACAGCACAGGTGCCTAAGTTACAGTGACAGAAAATGAACAGGGCCCAGAGGGAGCTGCAGAAATGTGTTTTAAAAGAAAAGAACATTGAGTAGGTCTTTAACAAACTTTGCACCCATGCTGGTTCTAGTTATCTTGAGTAACTTCAGAGTGATGAGTGATCTGGGAATTTCTGTATCACATTAGCGTAAGCTCCTATTTCCAGCCTTACAGGATCCTAAGTTATTAAAATCTCTGAGGCCAAGGCACGTGGGAACCAAATTTGGACTCCTGTACTCACGTCAAGTAACACATTCTGTTCAAGCTCTGCCACTGCCATCAGTGGGTGTAGCTAACAAATGAATCACTACTACAGAAGTAGAGATCTCATATCCTAGTTTTTATAACTATGATTAGCCCAGAGTTGAATTGCAGCTCATGCACAAACTTTGAGCTGGCCGCAGGAACTGATGAGAGATGTCCCATAAGCTGCAGGACATGTGACATCCATATGGGATGAGAACACAAAACTACAACCCAGTGATTAGCACCAACACCTGGGACTACGAAAACAAGCTGAAGGCAAGAGCCAGGATACAAAGCCACAGATCAGAATTGGAGCTTAGGACTTAGTTTTTGACCAGTGGGGAGCCATCACAGATGCCGCCAGTCAGAGCTACAGCAAAATGCACAGAGTGACCTGTGTGTCCATAACTACCAGATAGGTCTTGCTTACTCTGCTGAGTGAAAATTCACATCCCAACCTCATGAGTTCTGATGCAATCGTAATTTTCTCCTGGCCTTAAAGTCTCTATATCTGAGCTCTCTCAGGGAAGGTATAATTATTTGGAAAGGTCTCGGAGAGAAAAATAAGACCTCTCCCTGTCAGGCTGACTGATCCCATGAACCAGGTGAAGATTATAGTCTTCACAAGCCCATTCACAGCAGCCTGAGAGATGAAAGTCATGCTTTGAAGGCAAAAACATTAGACAAAGGCTACCCCAGATAAGGCCAGCTGCATTCAAATCAGATGAAGAGTGTCCCATTTGATGAAGGATGCTTACCTGAGCCCCTACTAATAAACAATGCAGAGCAGCACAAACAAGGAGCTCACCTCTGATTTTGGCATCTCTCTTTCATTATTCTTTCACCTTTCCTGGACATTTTAATTAAAAGGTTTGATAATATAGTATTTGGTAAGCTGATAAACTCCATAGAGTCGTGGCTCATGTCCCCTGGAAACTTATAGCTACACCCACTTTCTCCCTCTTTCATACCCTAATAAAAAGAAATCACCAAATTCCCAAGGCTAAAGTGTTCTCCTTGCATTTTCCTGTACACATCTTACAAGCCAGAACTTGTAAGCCATCACAGTTTGCAGCTTTAAAAAGAGAGAAAGAAAAAGAAAGAAATCAGACAGCTAAGGGGAGTTATTATGTTCCAAAATTTCAACATCTCTGACCCCTGCACTACAAATTGGTTCAAATCTCTCTCACTCTGGGAAAAACCTAATTCACTCTCTTAGAAAGTATATTGTCAATGGGATTCTACTGTTTCAAAGTGGAATAAAGATTTCTAGGTCTATGCTGTGTGAGTTTTTTAAGTATAGAAGACTTCTACATTTTCTAAGAGAAACAGACACTTGAAACAGAGACTTTATATAATGCAGTGTTAAAAAGCAGCATTCAAACTGTGCAGCCAAAAGGCTGTATGAAAAATGAGGTAGCTTGTGGAAAACAATCGACAGGTTTGGGTGTCAAATGAACAGACACAAACAGGCTATTTCCACTAACCATTATTGTAGAAAACAAACCACAGCAACACAGCCTCTCCTTTAGAAAGAGATTCCGCTTTGTTCCCAAGTCAGCTCAGCCCTTGCACTTTATCCTCCAAGAAAGCCTCTCCCCTAAGCTCAGCTGTGCTATTTCAAGGGTAGGGTACAATTATCCCATAGGACCAGCTATTCTGCTCCACAGAAGGATACACCTGGAGAGCATCTACACACACTTTTGTGATGTGCAACTAGCATGAACAGTGAAATCAAAGGATTTTGGATAGTTAGGTCAATCAACCACCCGTCACCAGAACCAGGAGAACATAATCACCTTTCCTTCACTATGGAAATGGGAAACAGTGACATGGTCAGACAAGGTTCTAGATCTTTGATAAATTTTGCAGGTCTATGTGACTTAGGAGCCTTACAAATTCCTTTCCTAGATGTTAAAAAAAACTTCTTACACTGTGAAAATCCACAGGCACAGTAAGGGAAATCTCCCAACTTGGTGCCAAAAAGCCAGGTTTTAAATGTGCGAGTCTAAAGCTGTTTAGAGAGATTTGCGGAAGGACCTAGACAATGTGAAAATCCTATGAGGTATCTATCTCCGCTACAAGGTGTGGAAATATTCCAAATCCAATCTATAGATATTTAGGGCTTGGATTCCAGATATTTTTAATGACATGTAAGAATTTCTATTAGAATTGACTCATATATCTATATATATAATCTCATGCTTTGCAATTGGAAGTCAATTCTCAAGTCATCCAAGTCCCTGACTCTTCAAAACAAAAGCCTCTGGTTTCTTAATATTACAATCTTTTTTGGCCTTAAGGACCAGGCACTTCTTCAATTGTTCACAGATTCTGTAAATCAGCACTTCTGCATGTTCACACACACACTCCATCATCTGGTATGTAGTTACAGCATTAAGAATCTGATTCAAACCCCAAATCCTAGTTTCAACTACAGAAGACTACTGCTGGGTTTTCTCTTTGTCTCTAAACTCATGTCTTGGGCCTTCACATGGTGGAGAGAAGTTTGGAAAAGCAGCATCCAAAATGGAGGAGCTTGGCGACAGGAACTAAATTTGTTTAATCATCTGCTTTTAAGACACACTCCCAATTTTGGAGGCCAACGCTTGGGAAATGGAAAGAAAGATAGTCACAAAGCAGATTTTTAGCAATCTGTTTGCAGATCCTGGGCTCTCACCAGTCAGTAGAAAGAAACTGGTTTTTCAGAGAGTGATTCAAAGCAGAGTCTGAATCATCCTTTCTCCCAACGGTTGCATAAGGAGACTGGTCAGAGTGGCTGGCTCTGCACAAAGACTGTGTTGTAGGCTAAAGTAGCTCTCAGAAGGGTTAACAAATAGGAGGTGTAATGATCATAACTTCACCACTGAAGCACTGGGCAGTTTCTCTGCGTTACAGTAAGTAGGCATGTAACAAAGAAGCAGGAAGTTTGCAATTATGAAGACTTGTACTCGTCTGTACAAGACACCACTGTTATCAGACAAGAAAGAGGTACAAGCATGGAGACATTCAGCTATAGCACTGCAAGATACATACTATGGATTGAGTATATAACATTGATGATGACCAAAACCAAGGGCATACTTAGTGTTCAGGTAAAACAACCAATCCCTTCAAGCTGGATGTCCTTCTCCCCTCCATGACCTGCCCAAAGCAAGCAAAGCCTGAGGGCTTTTACTCACCAGTAAAACCTGTTTGGAGTGACCCGCTCATGCATGAGCTGCCATTTTCTTCCAAAGTCCATGGAGCTGTACAGCTGAAAGACAGAGAGAGAGAGCGCGCAAGTATAAACTTTGAGGAAGAAGAGGAAGGACTGCCACTAAATACAGTATTAAAATCCGCTAAGATTAAAGAACAGGAATGGATTGTCCTGCACAGTTATGGATCAATCTCGTTGCCAAGGAAGGCTAACAAAGCCATCTCTTCCCCTCACATTTAACCCAGACTGAGATGCTGAGACTCAAAAGCAGGTTGGCTCTTCCAAAACCTTTTCAAACATTTCTGTGCTTCCTGATTTCAGCTGTCAACACATTCACTTTGGATGCCATATGACAAAGCTGGCAGTCCCCCTGGCTTTTTCAGCCCAACAGGAGGCAGGTGATTGATGACATGCAAACTCCTAACATTAGATAGAATGAGAGACAAATTAGATTAGTTAGCATGACTATAATGTGGTAGGTAGTGACTCTATACTCAAGGTCATGTTGCAATTCATTTTTATGGTGTGGGTCACATCTCTTCTGTGCAGGAAAGAAAAGGAAATTTTTCCTAATTTACAACTTCTATGTTCAGAACAAGGTATAAATTTTGAGATAAGTTAGAAATCAATCTGCTCATTAGTTAAACATTAAAGGTTGAGAGTTTGGCTTTCAAGAAGAGCCACTTACTACCCAGTGATCGTTTTGACTCTTTCTAGCAAACAAATGGCACAGCTGCAATGTAACCAAATTTTCAGGCAACTCTACACTAAGTCTCAGACATAGGTTCGTTTCATGCATACTCTGCTTAATATAAAAAAACCCCACCATTCTCCATGTAATTAGTTTATTACCCACAATCCCCTCACTCATAATCAAAGCATATGTAAGCTCCTTTTGTCCAACTTTGAGCAAGTTTGGTTCTTCAGAGAAAAAATACACTTTGAGAAATAACTACTCTGCTTTACAACTAGATCATAGAGAAATAAATAGCAGGCAGTGTTTTGAACAAGATTTCAAATAAATTTCATCTGAAATAAATTCTGGCTTAATAAAAGAAGGGTTGATTGCAGGCCAAGGAGGTAGATAACAGAGCAGAAAAAACTTAAATGTCTGTAATATCCAAATTTAGGTCCTTAATGGGAAAACTATATCATTTGAGTAAAAGATTCTGCATTTGATTTGATTTTGAGTAACTGGATTTACAAAGCGGAGCCAGGTCCACGTTCAGATTAGAAGGGTTCACAACCTAGTGTTGTGTAGTATGGAACAGCTATGATGGAAGGCTAAGTGTGACTGGGAAGATAAACTATATGTGCTCACACTGAATATTAAAGTTTCTTGAATGGGCAGTATCTTCAATCACAGAGCTGCAGCAGCCATATCAGAGCTGGATCATAGAACAATTTACAAAGGTGATTGGAAAGGGCTGTTTGAGCAATGCCCAAAGCCTGAGGCAGCTGATTAATTCTTACTATGTTTGTACTCAGCTACACAACCAAACCACTGTATAGCTAGCAGAAGGAAACTCAAAAACTGAAAATCAGACCCCATCAAGTACCTAACGCAACCAGTATGACTAAAGTAAAAAACATCACCTCTTTGCATTTATAGCAACAGAAAGTTCAGTTTCTGCTAATGAGAGGTCAAGCTGCCAGTGAACAAAGCACGTCAGGGGATGAGATGGAAGCAGGCATCCTCCAATCGTCATGTCAAAATGGTCTCCAGTTATGTAGACTTCACTCCAACCAACATCATGGGGCTTGTGGTATGAAATATTAGGAAAGATTTTCTGCCCATGTTCTTCAGGATATCAGACATGATCTGAATATTCCAATTTGGCTGTATTTCTTTGGCACTGTCACTAGATAAGGTAAGATACTGCACTAAAAGACCACATTACCTGGGCTTCCTCTGCTTTTGTGGTCAATCACAGTGATAGTCCAAAAAAATACAGTCGAGAATCCCCTGACCCAAAAGAAATTCTCCATAGATACAAAATAAAGCACTGATTATCTTTTTTAATTAAAGGAGCCAGGAAAAGGAAATTCCTTCTCCAAATTCAAGGATAGGCTTATGAATTCAATATCTGTATTAAGATAACTACCTTCTGAAGGAACATCCAGATATTTTGAAACAATAATTGAAAATCCATACTCCAAGAGTCAAAACTCTACAGTGCTACAGCTCTGCCTTGAATTTAGCACGGTGTCTGCCAGCAATAGAGTCATTTGACATGGTTTTACACATACAAGGACCTCTACACACAGACTGAGTTGCATTGGGTGCATCAAACAACTTGGCTATCCTTTCAGTTTCCTGACTGCAGGTATGACTTGCAGATTGAGCCATGGTGCTGTACAAACCACAGGCTGCAGACAGCTTATCCTCAGTTAACTCCCGTGCACAAGTGCAAGTGGGACTAGAATCCTTATTGTATTCTGCGACGGATTAACCATTCTCACCATGAGAGGAAAGGATTAGCAAAATACATCTATTTCCTTAGATTCTGTTTTATCTTTTGCCCCTAGCATTTCCTGTCCTTTTCCAGCTCCATAACAGCAGTAGTTACAGATAGCTCAGTGGCACGAAGCACAATCTCTTTCTAACTACTCATCTCTCCCATAGTGTCTCATTCAGGGAGCAGCCTTCTCTCTATCAAGCTAAAAACCAGAGACCAGCTACTAAGTACTTTTTTGCTCCCTTCTTTCTAGTAAAGCTAAGACTGACTGATGGTAGAAGGATTAAATTGAACTTGCAGCCTTTAGGTGATTTCAGATAAAGAGCTAAGGAGAATATTATTCATTTCAAGAACTTGTATTTATTTATTCACCTACTTATTCTAGGTGTCCACTTTGAATTTTAACCAGATGATTGACTCTTAAAGCTGTATGACAGAACAAAATCCTGAAAGGTCTCTCTAGCCCAATTCACTTTTATTGTATTATTTACAGATTCAAATGTAAAGGTTAATGTTGAATTACTAAATAAAACATGCAATAAAGAGTTTTCTAGAATGTATTAAAATTGAATATATATATATACACACACACACACTTTCTGTTCATCTCCCTTCACAGGAGAAGAGATGTTTTTAGAAGAGACAACAAATTTAGTGGCATGTAGAGCAGATTTCAATAGAGATTAATTTGTCCCAAGGCTGAATACTAAGTGATGGAAAGAAATGAGGTTTGTTTGGTGCCAAGATTTTCCCTTTTTAAAGCTCTCATCTGGCTCATTTAGTGACAAGTAATCTCTGGCATTTCCACCTCCCAGAGCACTCCAACACATTGGTTCAAGAGGGATGGACTTCAGTGTACCATGAGGGTGTACTGTGAGGGTATGCCCTTTCTGCAACCTCCTTGTGTTATGTGACCTGCTGATGAGTGAAAAATTAAGACTGTTATGGGTCTTTATGTTTGTACAGGCTGGTCCTGTGCCTTGATGCAGCTAAAGAGTGGCATGCAAAGCACTTGATTAAGGAGCAATTCAGAAGCAGGACCCAAAACAGAAGGACAAAGTTCTGGCTCAAGGCAAGGGTGACAAAATTAATTTTTTAACATGAAAATGAACTCAGAATCCTGCATCTACCACAGGGCCACCTCAGTAAACACAGTCACAGCACTCAGCTGATCCCAGCAACCTCTGCACCTATTTGAGTGGACAGGTTCCAGGAGCCTCCTGAAAGCTGAGGTGCTTTTGAGAACAAATACACAAAGCTCAAATTCCCTACTGAGCCCATCTGAATGATGCTTATGAACCTCATCTACCCTTGCAGCAGACAACAGGGGTCTTTACTAGGCATGACCCTAGAATTCCTGCTTGCCCACAGACTAGCATGCAACACTGCCAGAGCAGATGGGATTCAGAAAAGTGAAGGGGCCAGCATTGCGTATCAAACAAATATAACTTTTGATGTGCTCTCAGGTCTGATGAAGCACCTAAGGTATTACCCTGAAAGTATCAGTCTGGTCACACTAGCGGGATCCAAGAGCACCTCTGCTTTCACACCTGACTTTGAGGTCACCCCAGCTCAGCAGTACAGGTGAGGTCTTTGAAAATGGGTACTGAGCACTGGGGAAAATCTGCCTATGCTCAGGAGCCTAGTTAGACCTACCATTAAAAAAAAAAAGGCCATACATCAAGAAGGTAAAGAGCAAATGTTTATCCAAACAGCATCACAATGCTCCGCGCTCAAGGATCATAGCACCAGACATATCACATCCACCACCACAGTCCTGTGTTTTACCAAGAACACACAATCTGTGCGAGGAAAGACCTTGGCAGCCCAAGTGATACACAACTTTATTTCACCACAGGACAGAACCTTAACTCACGCTTGTCTTGTTCAGCACAACTCTGAATCATAAGGATATTACATACCACAGGCAGAAAGCTGCTCCTTCAAACTCTAAGAACACTTGCAACATCTTATTTAAGACCAGCATTGTTTCTGAGATAAGCAGCAGGCCCCTTGAACACATGCAACATGCCAGAAACACAGTCAGAATTACAGAGCTGGAAAGGAAAGAGTTATATACACATGTATGCTCTCACAGTGTTGCGTAGGAAAAATGTCTTCACGCTGTTGCAATTCTCCAGTAGAAACTCTCAGGGTGACACGTCCTGTTGGCTTACTTGGATGATCTTGTTTGGGGCTGGGGTAATTTGTTTTGGGCTTTTTGTTTATTTTCCCAATGACAGCTAGCAAAAATATAGAAAAGGATGATTTTACTCAAGAAGTCAAGATTCTTTCATGGTGCTCCAGTTCTGAAACTGGCCTGCTTAAACTCCCCTTATGGAGAGAGGGGATAAGAATGAGCAATGAAGGAAAAATATGGAAACCACAGGAGAAGATTCAACCCCCTGATATTATTCATCCATATCTGAGCTAGTCACCAAGGCTCATTTTTAGACAGACAAGAAATAGGCTTGAAAGAGGCACTTCTAAAGCACAATTCCTATACTAAGATACACTTCTAAAATTGCTTATTATTCATGCCTTAGAAGCCTCTTTCTCTCCATAGACACTAAAAGGACTAGACACTAAAAGTGACTA